TTTCCATTATGTGTAAAAAATCGGAATATTAGTTCATTTCCTGCAATATTTTTAATATTTCTCTACAACTCAAAGCTTTTAAGAATGATCACATAATTTGAAAACCAATCAATATACAGTAGTTTTCATATATTTTGATGGTGCACAATATATATTTGAATGTTAATTACACTTTGAATCCTTTGAGCACCAAAGTTTTGTCAAATTCACAAATTTTAAATACACTTTTTTTTAATTTTGATCAAAACTTGTAGCCAATAGTAAATTATGTAAATGTGGACCAAAATCATTAAAAAATATACATAAAAACAGAAAAAAATACAGCACTCAAAAGGTTGAAAATCTGTAATGTCACCTATATTTCGTTTGAAGTCTTATGAAGTATGAATAGTTACGTAAACAAAGCAGCAAGATAAAAATTACCATTTCTATTTAACAATCTGAAAATTATTAAAAAAATTAAAATTTGATAGCAAACAAGTTCTATTAAGATTGGTCTGTGATGTGGACCAGACATACCCGGTAGATTTGTTTCTTGTAGTCATTGGTGTTTTCGAACTTTTGATGACACAGTGTTCAAGGCCAAATTAACAGTGTTTCTGATAGGTAGGTAGGAATAACTTTATAATAATTTTATAACTTTATTTTACGGAAATTAATTATTCTTAATTTATTGTTCTGCAGTGCTGCTTGGCCCATACTGTTATATGGGAGTATTTTTCAATAATATGCCACATCTTGCATGTGCAGGTTGACATTTTGATTTAAGAATTTCAAGTAGAGCTGGAAGGTGTACCTACAAGTGCCCATTTTCCAGTTTGGCCATAAAAAGCTACAGGGTTGACCTAAATAAAGTAGGCAGATACATATTATTTATCAGGAGTATTAAACAGAAATGCAGATTTTAGTTTGTCTAGGTAAGAATGATTTAGTCATCAAACACTAAAACAGCATCTGATAACTCATGAACTTCATTTGTTAAAGATTTCAACAAAATATAGAAGACAAACACAATATGTATCTGATTTTGTTGAAGGCATGCTACACATGTACACGCAGATTTGTTGAGCTTTTATATAAACAGCACGAAAGAAAGGTCCCATCTGGCAGTAGTTAAAAATAGTTAAAATAATCTGTGTATTGCATTCAACCTAACAGTGAGTTGTACATTTTATTTGTCACCATCCAAACATATATTCAAATGTTCTAGAGACAACATTAGCGCTCTTCTTCGGCGTGCTACCAGTAGGAGCGACCTGAAAATGAACACAATGATAAACTGACATTAGAAAGGAAAGTACTGAAGGTATGCTTGGTTTGTTGTACAATTTTATATAATGTAAATTAAAATAATATAATGTAATTGATATTATATACATAGATTAAAATTATAATTGTATATTTTTTTTTCATCAAAAATAATGTACGCCAGTAAAACTGATTCTTTTCTTGAAGTCTGTTGTAAGTCTGACAAAATATCAGGCATCAAGCTTCAGAAAATAAGCTTGGAGGTTAGAGATGGTTAGAAGTACTAAAAGACGTGCCTCATGTTGACTACTTGCAGCTTTGTAGGCAGCTGTTAACGGTCGTATTGCTGGACTCTCTGTGTCACATGGATTACATATTGTACTTGTACTCGCTTGTTCTGATGTGGCTTGCATTACACTCTGAAACATGGGGGGAATATTTAATAATTAGTATACAGACCTTGTGGAAATTATTCGGTTCACTGCAGTGCTCAAGCTTATAGGACAGTGGCAGATTTAGAAGGATACACTGTACATGCATATTCCACAATACAATAAAGCAATAACATAAATACAGAATCCGTCCCTGTTTGGTCATTTGGTCACTTGAGGGAATGTGATGTAACATAGCCAGTTCCATTTTAATGCAAGTTACAGCACTGCAGCATGGGAATTTTTTTAGTCACTATCTAATACTCTCTGAAAAAAATATTAGTTTATAAGGTTTTACAAGACCATTATACTGCTATGACTTACCCTATCAATGCAAGCTGTAATGCTTACCATTATACGCTATGACTTACCCTATCAATGCAAGCTGTAATGCCTACCATTATACTGCTATGACTTACCCTATCAATGCAAGCTGTAATGCCTACCATTATACTGCTATGACTTACCCTATCAATGCAAGCTGTAATGCCCACCATTATACTGCTATGACTTACCCTATCAATGCAAGCGGTAATGCCTACCATTATACTGCTATGACTTACACTATCAATGCAAGCTGTAATGCCTACCATTATACAGCTATGACTTACCCTATCAATGCAAGCTTGA